TGTGTGTGTGTGTGTGTGTGTATGTGTGTGTGTGTGTGTACGTAACCATATGAGTAGCAAATGAGTATGTGATCAGAGAACGTGTGTTGTGTCTATATTGTGTGGATTTTGCATGGTGCCTGTGTGTTTACGGTGTCTATGCGTTTATGGTATCTCTGTACTTATGGCGTCTATATAAGGAGACCGTGCTTGTGGAGTTTATTAATATGTGTGGAGTCCATTTGTGTGTTTGTATGTGTCTATGCGTTGTATGCGTATGCGTATGTGTATATCTGTGTTTTCTTAGTCTCGGGGCGTATATGATATCTGTACATAGGCGGAGAGTGCGGTGAGCGGAGGTTGTGTGACAGGACGGGTGTGAGGGTTGTGAAGATGCAGAGCGGGAGGATGCCAGCATGATAGATGGGTAGGTTAGCAAGAAGGGTGCGTGTGGCGGTCAGCAAGAAGGTTGCGTGTGTGTATGTGGGGGTGTGTAGGGAGGTACGAGCGTTGACGGAGCCGGGGATGACATTGATCGCTGAGAGCGGGATCGTGAACGGAAAGGAACTTGGTAGGGAGGTATGGATTGGGACGGCTTTGTGTGTACGAGAAAACAGAGGGGATGGGGAACGTATTGGCGCAGCCCGTGAGAAGGGGTCGATGTGAACAGGGACGATGATGGACGCTGGGGCGTGGGAGGGGGCGCATTTAGAGTGGGGGGGGCGTCATAGGACGAGGAGAGCGTGTGCGGCGGGTAGTCGGAGGGGAGGGAGTAGTATGCGAACCGCTTTTGGTGGTAGACTGTTGAGGGCGTGAAGGGTATGAGGACGGGGAAGCGAGCGCAGAGGACAGCGGGTCGGCGTTCGGGCGGAGAGCAAATGGAGTGTGTAGGACGAGAAGAGAGAGGTTTGGGAGATCCGTAATAGGCGTGGCTCTGACTGGTGAGGCGGGGAGGGGTGTGGACAGAGAGGATGAGGGCGGGGGCGTGGGCGTTGGTGGGCGGCGCGGGCGGGCTCGCGTTGGCGGAAAGGTCAGCTCGCCCGGGAATTAGCTCTCGCGGAAAACCGCGTGCTAACGAACTGGCGGCTGCGCCACTCGCGGAGATTCTCTCTCCTCCCCCCTCTTCACCTCTTCCTCCCTCAATCCCCTTCCAGCAGCCGCCGCCGCGCTCCACAGAGACGAGCAGAGGCCCGAACGAAAAAAAGAGGGTGTGTTGCGCGCCGCGTGAAATATTTCGCCGGCGGTTCGGAGCGGCCGCCAAGATATAAGGTGGTTTCCCCAATGGCCCAGCTAACCTCGAAAGCAACTTTCCACAAAATGGAACTCTGGGTTTGTTTTTCAGATTGTCATCTTTCTGACAACATCTTTTGATGAATGCTGATATTATTCTTGTAAAATGGGAAGAAGCAGTATTTGGTTAAACATTTATAATATTCATGCTGAGTACATTTCTACGGTATTTTCGCCTGTATTTCCCCAAACAAGCGACGAGCTTTTAGACTTGTTTCATAATTTAAAGCTCTTCTGGTAGCTCAGGGATAGCATCCTAGCTTTCCATGATACAATTCCTGGTAGGGGCAAAAATAGTACTGTTTACATTCAATCGTCTGTTTCTAGAGCTGTATGATGAAAGAAAGTCAGGCAGCCCAAGCATGCTAGATACGGTGAAGGGATTTCATCATAAATTCCGTGGTGGTAAATTCCGTGGTGGATTTCATCATTTTCTACCTGTCTCACTTAATCTCAACCGCGAGTAATAAATAATAAATAATAATAGTAACAATAATAATAATAAATAATAATAATAATAATAGTAACAATAATAATAAAAGCAGGACCAGATCTGTGAAATTCCCTAGCTGTCAGAAGTGGAATTAATCTGACCCTATAATACCAAATACGTTCTACATACATACATTCATGTTTTGAAAAGTAACAATTCACAGTGTGAAATGCAGGGTATTGGAACTAAATGTTTCATTAATTTCATTTTAAAATCGTGTTTTAGAATTGATAATTTAATAATACTAATAATACTTATAGGAACACCGATGATGGCTTGCGTAAGTACCGGAGTGTACAATTTATTTGGGAAGTCGCCGATTCAATCTTCGCAGTCCGCCGCAGAAATGTACTCGAGTTAAAACATTGGTGAGATCATGACGCCTGCCGCAATCGACTTTGTAGATTGACAGCTCTGATCAAAGGTTTCCCGGATAACTTCCTGGCGAATGCCGGAGCAGGACCTTAAAATACGGGTCAAGGACCGAACACTTCTCGATATGTGGGGAAAAAAGAGAATAAAGAAAAATATGTCAATATTGTATATCAATAAATGAATAAACTAATACCACTACTATTAATAATTATTATAATTATAATAATTATTATTGCAATAATAGTTATTATTATTGTTGCAATGTCTGGTTACTTTTTTCAGTTTGTTCTGAACCATCAGCTTTGCAATAGATAAAACACAATTATGTTTCCGAACACGATCACTCCGTATTGATTTGAGTCTTCGGAACGACACCATCATCAAACGGTTTGGAAGCCCTTAACTCGCTCGTAGTGGGTTATCCGTTGTTCGTTGGCCTACATCGACGACGGGCAACTCCTGGGTCATAATGGTATGCAAGGCGAGTGCTCCGCGGACGCCGTCGCCAACGGTCGCGGCGACGGCGAGGGCAGCTGGCTGGCCTGGCGGCGGCGTGCGCCAGCGACCCCGAACACACACACACACACACACACACACACACACACACACACACACACACACAAGACGACCGTTGGCGAGCGCCGCCGGCGATTACGCGCGTCTCATTCGCCAGGGTGAATGGCGGCGCTAGTGTCGTTCTGGACATTACCCCACTTCGCGTGCCGCGGGATGCTCTCGCGGAAGGGTTTATGGTTGTTTTTAGTGGGATGAAATACCGTGGAGAACTTCACAGATTGTGCTGTGAATGCAATTATAATCTAATATATATTTATCCTTTGTACGGAGTTTGACTCGTTGCTGGTGTTGGGTATTGTGTGATAAAATTGTGTTTGTTTTGAGATGCTTGCCGGAAAACAGTGCTGACCTGCTGGACATGTTTTAACGAATGTTGAACGACGGTTTTCAGACAATAGTAAACAAGGATATGATAAAATCGCTTCTGCACACATTCACATTTCGATCTTTAGATCTGGAATCTTTTTCAGATGATATCCAAATTTAATGTTCATAAAATTTGAAATGTATAATAGTTCAACTTTGATTTTTATGTGATGGGCGTGCATGTAGCTGTCAATATAATTCATTGTTCGTAACATGATAGGAATTTAAGAAAAAAATATATTACGGTTCGAAATATATAACAAAGTTAATGTATGACCGAGGTCGTTGAGACTGGGCTGCTGTAGCTGTCTCGGTTCGAACGTGGTGGTTTCGAATCCTGCCTGAAGCATGGATGTTTGTGTGCGTGTTATTTCCTTACATGTTCTTCCTAAAACTCCCCATATAATTAAAACAATCACAGGGGTCGCTATTCGACCACGTTGTTAAAAAGAAATCTAAAAAAATTGACATTGAATGTAAAAGTTAATGTAGAATGCAGACCTAAAATTGGGGGTTTACCTCACAACATATAAATATAAAACACAAATTCTGTCGGAAGTCGTCAATAATCAGAATGAGCGCCCTACACTCAAAGTTTATGATGTAGTTCTCACGAGATGAATCAAATTTACTGAAACAAATTGCAGGACCTAATTTCGAATATTATTACGAAACAAACAACATTCGCACAGTACATTTTAGTCTCGGAAAGCTAATTAAAACTTCAGAGAAATAATTTCTCGAATGTGCTACGACGAATACTTCTGTCTACTTGACAGCTCCCGAGTGACAGGGGAGAGGGATTTCCGTTATCCAAGCAAAGGCTTCAAATTGTGATGTCACTGTACAGTTGCTGAAGCGTATTTAGAAAAACATCAAATTTCATAGCGCGAAGCAACAGTAAGTTTAAGAGCGCCATTACTTCTTTGGTTATGCATCGTGTGTGCGGTTGTGTGTCGTTTAGTTGTATTATCTTATTGCAGTTCGTTTCTTGCTATCTGATGCAAGAACTACCACACGACCACATATCTACCTCTGGAGTAAGTGGTAACATCGTTGTACCCCCACCCCAGCTGTCAAGTAGACAGAAATATTATTCGGATAATAGAGCCTTGCTATGAAATTGGACACTTTGCGATGCGTCAAATAGCCTGAAAATGTGGAGTTATAAATTCAAAGACATTGTGCTAGTGGGCTCTTGCTGTGGTTCACCAAGTTCTTGGCGATCTGAGCGACCGAGTTAGCGTCACTGTCAGCGTCTGTCTGTATAACAGGAAGTCCTGGAGTAAAGCTCATTGGGATAAATTTGTGCTTTGACTTAGATTTAAACCTACTGGTGTGGTTTACTGACATCTTCTTGCGCGCAGCCGTTAGCGTTGCGCGCGAGACTGACCTAGGCTGAATGAGGTTGAGTGAGCCGAGGCCGGGTGAGCGAGTCTCGTCAAGGATGAGTAAGGGTCAGAGAAGCTGAGCAAGGTAAGACTGAGCGAGGGTGAGCGAGGCTTAACGAGACTGAGTGAGGGAGACTTAGCTAGAGTAAGGGTGAGGCTGAGTAAGAGAGGGGCCCGCTCAGCGAGGCAAGGCTGAGAGAGGGTTTAAGCGAAGCTGACGCTGTGCAGGACTGAGTATTGTTGAACGACGCGAGGATAAGCGAGACTAAGCGAGGCTGAGCAAGGCTGAGTAAGGGTGAGGGGGGGCAGGGCGAAACGAGTCTGAACGAGGGTGAGGGATGCTGAACGAGACCGAGTAAGAGTGTGCGAGGCTGAGGAAGGGAGAGAGAGAGGGTCAGGGAGACGGGGCTGAGCGAGACTGTGAGCGAGACTGTGAGCGAGACTGTGAGCGAGACTGTGAGCGAGACTGTGAGCGAGGCTATGAGCGAGGCTATGAGCGAGGCTGAGCTGGGGTGTGCGGTGTGCCGCAGGGTGCGCGACGGCGCTGCGCGAGGTGCGGCTGTGGGTGCCCGAGGCCGTGCGCTCGGGCCACGCCGTCAAGCTGGCGTGCGACTACGACCTGGAGGAGGCGGCGCTCTACTCCATCAAGTGGTACCGCGGCGACCAGGAGTTCTACCGCTACGTGCCCAAGGAGTCGCCGCCCACGCGCGTCTTCGCGCTGCCCGGCATCCACGTGGACGTAAGTCACCCCTCCCACACACTTGCTTCTTTGTTACGCCCGGTTGCGATTGCGCAGCAGCTGAAGCTCCACCGATGCCTCTCTAGCATCGTTGATCGGGAGTTATTTGTGTCAGAGTTCTGACGAAGCCAATTTTTTTACACTGGCAACTGGTTGGATCGGAATCAGCCAATAGGGGATTCTTGCGGCCGGCCGCTCTCATCGGTAAGGTAGTGGTTTCCCCGATGTCACCAGGAGAATACCGGGCCAATTTCCTTTTTCCCAATTTTCTCAAACAACTCGTTTACCTTGACTACGAAGGTACCAAACAGATAAAGGACGTAAAATGCCGTTAGCACACAAAAAATCATAAATAATAATGGTGGTGGGTTCCATAGACCCAGGGTACCAATCCTCTCCGCCTGGCCACGGTTTCTTTTTGCCCTTCGAATACTCGTGTCATTGTGCCTCTCCGCTTCCAAGAGAACACTGTACTGACGTCTTCTCTGTTCTGTTGATCCATCACACTGCTCACAGTTCCATTTCTAATTGAATTGTTCGCATTATTATTCAACCGTTCTGTTCACTTTGCCCCCTCCTCTTTACTTTATTTTTTTTCTATTTCTTTTGTCCCCGTATCTTTCACATGCATAGATTTCACTCACCTAACTATACGCTCTCGGTCCACTGACCACGCTTGATATTTTCTTCCCCATTCTGGTTCCAGCTCCCACAATTACCCTTACATGCCCAACATTAACACGTTTGTTGGCAGACTAGGTGCGAGTTGTATGCATTTGTTTTTTGCGTTTTGAAGAATTCAAATTGAACAGTGCGTGATTAATGTAGTCATATTTCGATATTTTAAGAGGAATTTATAAAAATTCCTTTTCTTTTTTAATATTTCATTTACTATCTGGTAAATTTAACAGATTTTACTGAGTTTTGCAATCCAGTTTTACAACAACTGGGATGGGGCTTAAGCAAGTGGGGAGCTCATTATACTCAAAACTCCCTCTTATTTTTTGTAGATTTGTTTGAATTAAGAATTTTATAACTTTTGATTTGTATATGTATAAATAATTATTGTAAAAATATATTATTTAATGGTATGCTTGAATGTTAAATATACTGTAATTTTGTAATTGGTAAGGTTAATGAACATTGTATCTTGCTGGTCGTAGTTTGTCCTTTGGGTACCTCGAATTAATTTTTATATTTTCTGCAGACAAACCTAGACTGAAGTTTTTGCACAACCATCTTTTATTAAGTCTAAAATTTCTTTTCAGATAATCTATTTCTGATTTGCTTATTTGAAACGTAGAAAGAGGCTTTCGTGATACGTTTTAAACTTTATTTTGTAAAATCTTTTGTATAAACTTTATATTTGGCTGCTGCATACCAGATAGGGGATGCATAAGTAAGAGATAGTCTAATAACGGATTTCAATAAGTTATCCCGCATTCTAAGCTTAGTCTAAAGTGGATATTTATGAGTAGATATAGTTTTGCTTTTTTCACCTGTTTTATTGGCTATTTCGTTTATATGATAGTGCCATATGAGTTATTGATGTAGTAGTACGCCTAAATACCGCACTGTTGATCTTTTGAGTTGATCTTTTGGTTCAACTTTTTTGTTCCATTTTAAGTTTACATTTTTAATAGTTAGTGTTTTGGACAATTATGTCTTATTAGACTAAATGTTTTGAGTTGTGATTTAGCAGGGTTTTTTTTATTTTCCATTTTGAGAACTAATTTATAAATGCATCTAATGATTTTTTTAGAATTTCTCATCCATGATCTATGTCGAGAACAGAACTGTTTCTTCTTCTTCTTCTTCTTCTTCTTCTTCTTCTTCTTCTCCGTGTATCTGTTTTTTTCATTTGAGAATAGTCTGCAACGTATAAAGAATTCCTATAGATCAACATCTGCTATCCTAAAAACTCATTGCTGTAATTTCATGCAGAACACTCACTCTTTTTAAATAATGAAACACCCTTTATTAGAATAATTCAGACAATCAAAGCCAGAACGGCTGGAATGCATCCTTGTGAACGAGACGAAAACCTCCTCGCGACAGCATTCTGCCGCACCGCGGTCGTTCATTCACTTTGTGCATGCGACTTGCGAGTTGCCGGCAACTGTCCCTGGCGCGCTTGTGCTACGTCACACGTGCGGAACGGCCGGCTGGCGCATGGCTCTCCCGCCTGCCGCAGGGGCCTTTGATGTCGGACACAATTTCAACTCTTCGTGTCGAAGCGCCGCGCACGAAAATGGCGACGTGACCGCGCTCGCCGACTGATATATCGGGCTTAAACGCCACAGTATATTCCGCGTGACTCCTATCTTTTCCATCGCACTATCACCAGCGCTCGGGTAGGTGCTTTATACACGCTGCAGACACATTGATTCGAATCGATAAATTAGTTTTAATCTATAAATTGACGGATATAGCGGCGTGTGCCGTTAAATGCGTCACCATCAACTGAGAGTGGTGAGAACGCATCGGACGTGTTTTATGGGAAGTTCCCGAAGTCGTGGTATCATTTTCGACAGAACTTCTCGCTGACACGAGGAAAATTATCTCGTGATGTGTTTCCACGGATTACGATTTGCGTTATTAATATCAGAAGAGCTTTGTATTGTTGGAAGAGTTTTATTATTTCGGTTTCAAATTTTGGGAAATGACATGCTCCTTTAACGATGGGTATTTTACAATTTTTCAGTGCTGATTTAATTGAAAGATTTATATTGTGAACTGTAATTGACAGTCATGATGTCAACACGTTTTAAAAATGGTAGTAACATACACATATTGAGTCATAACAAAATGGCTGACATAGCTTAAGGTTTCTTTATTAACGAGTGATGACTCATAAGAAACGAATTAGTGGAAATTTGATTTATAGATGGTTATTTATTAACGAAAATACAACTAAAATTATTACGACATTATGATTTCGATCAATAATGAATGTGGCATTGCTAATAATCGCCTAATTAAAACAGTATCGGGGTAATTACATGACAGGTGTAACTCACGTTAACCGTTTAATCGGTGACAGCTATGAATTGTTACAGCTCCGTGTGTGGAGTGACGCGTAGAGATGGTCGTAAATATCTCTCGCTCTACCTACTGCGCGGGACTGAAATGAATAGCATGGCTTGTTCACTAAAATACGCGCCCTGCCACGATTAAAGTTCCCCGTTAAAAGATGTTTATTAAAACAGACGTTAATATCATAGTTATAGAAGAATATTGTTTCAATATGTTACGTTCCCGAGCAACTGTGGTCTTTCGAAAAGTAGATTCTGTTCAAATAATTGTACACTGTTATTATTAACTCTAATTTATATGTTGTTTAGCATAGTAATAAGGATAATCAACACATTTAATTGATCGCACGCGTACGTTTACAGAAATGAAACAGTTTTATCATCTTTTCAGTTAATTAATTAAATTATTTTAGCTACATGAATAGTTTATGACTAGTATCAAGTGTGCAACTTCATAAAACGTTTCGTAAGTGCTCGAATAAAATGATTAATTTCGAGAAAGGAAATTTGAAAAAAAATCATTAAATTGTTTACGTATTCATTATTATGATAGGCATGCGCACGGGGGGAGAGAGCAGGGGGTCTTGGCCCCCTGAGAATTTTGTGACACCAACGTCCTGCGTAATAAACCATTTTATATCCATAAATGTGATAAATTCTTGATTTTTCTGCTTTTTCAAGTGAGCAATTTGGGAAATTGATTCCTAACATTTGGGAAAGAGGCTATTCAAACCATTTGGCAACCCTGTAAATTCTTCAACATAAAACTAATTGTATTTATTTATTGAATAAGTATAATTATTTTATTCTCCTTGTACTATTAGTTTACTTATTTTCTAGTAAAATAAAACATTTGCATACAAAAATTCTAATAAAAAAAGGGTTCAGAAATGAAATTTTGCCTCTTGTTTTAGACTCCAAACGCCTATTATTATTTACGTTTCATGAACTCAGTTCATCAATAATTACTTTACACGTAGAGTAATGTTCTTGTTTGAAAACGAGTTAAAATGTCTCGGTTAAAACCCATTCTATTATTTCAGTCAGCGCAAAAACATCACATTAAATATAGGCTTCCATTAAAAATAGGATGCGAAAACGTCTCCCTGCCTTAAATTCACTGGTACTTACAATGCGCAGCAGGCAGTTTAAGCGTTCGAACAAGAGGTTACAAAGTGCTCTTTAGCAGCGGTACTTCATAACTCGTAGCTACGACACCACCTTCCTTATAATAGCCTCTCGGTCTGCGTCCTCGCACGTCGCCCCCACCGGCCCCGTCCCACCGCGGCGCTCCTTCATTTAGTGCATTTCATTTCGTCCCTATGAATTTCAACTAACTCCATTCTCTGCCGGATCCCGTCTCTCTTGTACCTGCCTCCCCTCGGCGTTCCCTCACGTTTCCTCTTCCCCTTCCCGCCTCCTCCTCCTCTTCTCCGGCGCGAAGGTGTCATTCACCGCCAGCTCCGCCAACCCCAGCCCTCGCCCTCTTTCCCGCGTTGTGACACTCCTCTCTCCACTACTTCGCCCGCGTTCTCCTCCTCTAACCGTTGCGCGTGTGGAGGCAAGCGCGGGCCAGAGCGTTGGGTGACGGGGCGGGTGTTGACGAGCAGGAATGAAGCGAGTGAGGACGTGCAGGAATGGAGCGGGAATGAGTGGGGTCTTGGCGAGCGTGCTGGGTGGGTACCCGTAGAATCGTATAGGTGCGGAGCGGAAGGGTGGTGGGAGCGAGGACGAGAAGGGGTGAGCGTGGGAGCGAGGGCCGGTGTAGGCAAGCGAGGACTAGTTGGAAATAACCTGGCGTGAGGTGGCGGGCAGGGGAGCGGGTGTTAGTGGGCGTGGACGGGCGGACTGAGGTGGATCGTAGGGCGTGGGTGATTGGGTGGGTTTGCGCGAGTGCGCGGGCGTTGGTGAGGGAGGTCTTGGCTGCAGATGGAGGCTTGGGGGAATGGCCATGGGTGGTCGTGG